TAGGGAAAGTTGAACTTTCTGTCCAGTAAAAGGGAGAAAACTAAAGCCGCGCCTTTCTGAAATGTTGAACTTTCTGTCCAGTAAAAGGGAGAAAACTAAAGCCGCGCCTTTCTGAAATGCTGAACAGCCCCCAGAGGCCTCCCTGCCCGGGTGCTGCGTGGTGCGATAAGGGACAAGGTGTGAGCTTTTGTTCTCAACTCCAGAAAGTTTCAGCGTGGTTTTGATTTTAGGAAAACTGAGATCTTTTTCATTGCAGCTGAAAATGGTTTGACTTCAGGCTGTCCTGGGACTGATGTCCCCCCATTTAAAAAGAAAAAAAAGGGGGTTATGTGCTTGGGGGAGTGGGCGAAGGGGGCAGTTCAACAGTACGGTGTTAAATTGTGCTAAGGGGCATGCTTGGGAACACGATGAAACGGTGTCCACTTCTCTTTCTAGATACCTGCTCTTTCAGCTGTCAGAAGACATCACCAAAGATGAGCTGAAGTCTTTCCAGTTTCTTTTGGGGAAAGAATTACCAAAATGCAGGCTAAACCCTAAGACTGTAAGAATTTCTTTAATACTTTTTTTTTTTAATGATTATTATAATCCAGAGAGGCATTTGAGTTGCTATGAGGGGAATGAGTGTCACTCCTCTTATGGCGTCACTCTTCTTATGGTGAAAACACCATAAGAAAACGGGTGCACCTGGAAAGGGATTGTAGGCTCTCCAGTGCATATGGGACTTGTCTGTGCTAGTGTTGTGTGTAGCTTTTGCAGCAGTGTCACAGCCCAGAGAGCATGGGCCAGCCCTGCACCAGAGGCCTTCATGTCCAAGCACCATACGGGGCTTAGGGGACTCAGTGGCTTTGATCAATGGAAGACTGATGAGCACATTCACTCATATCGCCCAACTGATTTTCTTTTGGCTGCTTTCTAAGCCATTATCAAACACAGAGAATCACCCACTGTGGCTATTACGTTATGCTTTTGTTCTTTTTATTTCCAAATTCAGAACATACGGATCTAAGCAGTAGATCCTTACCAAGGCTAAGGCCCAAGAGCTTGGAGTTTACAAATAGCCTTGCGGGAGATCCAGTTGCTCTGACACTATCTCAGCCTGCAGTTCTGACTGCTGGGTACTTTGTTCTGTCTAATGAAAACTCTTACAGCATTTTCCCTCTTTTCTTAGAGGAGAGACTGTGACCATCTAGTGATAGCTGTTCTAGGAAATCCTTGGGGTGACCACTGTGCTCTGCCACTCACTGTTTGGGTCCCCTTTTGCTTCAGAGTAATCTCTACACCATACTTGCACGGTTATACCCATTTTCACCATTGCTCAAGATGGTCAGTACAGTGGTTCCTGTGTTTCAGTTAAGTGCACAAGATAGCCACTGGAAGTCGAATGAAAGCAGTCATTAAAAATGACATTATATATTCCTGTGTGATCACCGTTAGATCTTCTGGATTAGATCTTATTAGATCTTGGCATCTCTGAGCTGCGGAAGGGAAATAAGTATGTTTTGAGAAGGTGATTGTACTTACAGTACTTGTAGGTTTTGTTGAACTAGGTTTAATTGACTCAGCTGAGGTCTCAACTGAGCTACCAGTCAGCTGGACTGACTCTGTGGGTCGCATGTGCTGTCAGTACATTAAAGCTTAGGTGCACGTGCACATGCTGCAACTTCCCTCCCAGTGGCAGCATGGATGTGCCCTAAGAGCAAACTACCTTTCTGATTACCCAGACAATGCTCGACGTTTTCATTGAGATGGAGAAGAAGGGGATTTTGGGAGAAGACAACCTAAGTATCCTGAAGAGTCTCTGTGCAGAAATTAACATCAGCCTGTTGAAGAGAATTGAAGAGTATGAATTAAACCCATTTGGTAAAACAAAACAAAACAAAAAGGCCTCTTTCCCACAGTTATTCTTGAAGTGACACATAGGTATCATAGAGGACTAATAATGAATACTTTTCAGGTGAAGAAGAGATGCTCATCACAGAAGAACAGAGGGGCAGCACAGGAGGCCCTGAAGGTAATTGAAACTCTCAAAAAATTAATGTTTAGATTTTTCGCTCTTCAGCTTTTGGACTCTCCACAACCACTTGCATCTCACTTCTTTACACAGGTGCCTCTCTAAAAAGTGATCAAGTACCCAGTTACTTACTAACTGGTCACAATACATTTTACTCCCTTTTAACTGATTATCTAGTGGTTTATAGCGAACAGAACAGCCGTTCAAACACAATTCAGTGTTTTCAGAGAACAGTTTTACCCTGGGAGGTAGTTGTGGAGATGTAGAATAGGAAAAGCTTCTCTCCTTTCTCTAGTGCTACATTCTGTACTTGAACTTTTTTGTCTGTATTCAGCCCATGCCAGATGGCTGGCGTCATCTGTGGCACCTGATTCTCCTGGCAGTTGGAATAAATCTTCCCAGGTAAGTCAGTTTGTTTCTTAGAAACATCATAATTTTGTCTTAGACTAGATCATCCCTCCATGAGGTGAAGAGTTATTGTAAGCCCAACTGTTAAAAGCACCGTCTAGAAAGAGAAGAATGCACCACTCTGTAACATCCTTTATTCTGAAGCGAAGTCACACACAGCAGCTGCTGCACTGTTAAAACTTCAGAAACATTTGCAAGGGTAGCAAGATAGGCCAAGTTTATTATACCAGGAATACACAGTTGGCAGATGGCTGGGCATGGAGCAGTGGGTGAACGCAGCACCCCATGTTCGCTGAGCACGATGATGTGGGTCTGGAGGGGTGCTGTCATGCTGTGCACAGACTCCCAAAGGTGGTGGGGCAGTGCATTGCCAGATCCCGGGAGCAAAGCTGTATAGGGAGAGCCTGCCTAGAGAGAAAGCCAGCTGGCTTTTTACCCTGCTGTGCCACTAGCAAGGGCTGAGAAGCACCTGGAGGAGAGTGCAGTAGTTTCGCCAATAGTCTTTCTTTTCAACAGCTTGAAGCTTACAAAATGACTAGCCGACCCCGTGGAGTGTGCCTGATCCTGAATAATCACAATTTTGCAAAAGCCAGGGAAGCAGTGCCGGAACCCAAAAACATGAAGGATCGGCATGGGACAGACGTGGATGCAGGTACAATGAACATTAAAGATGAGTTTGCATATTTTCAAAACTAGAAACCTCATTTCTTTTTCTGTACTGAAGGTCTGAATTTCAATCTTCCCTTTCTAGGATACTTTTGTTGTAGTGGCTGAGTCGGCTGTTTCCTGTGCTGACAAACCGTAATCAACTCATCAAGCTTTTACTGGCTGACTCAGAACAATTCACTAGCATTTTGCTGTTTTACTGAGTTTATTGCAACCTCAAGCAGCAACCTCAGCCTGGACTTTACGAGCTAGGCTAGCTTTGTGTCAGCTTTATGCATACTACTTCTAAAACATGCAGAAT